CGAGTGTGTTCTACCTGGTCAATCAACTGCCTCCTATACTGATTCTCCTCGTTCAATACTTGCTCCCATAGTCCGTAATCACGTCTTCGTACCAGGTACCGAGCAAGGTTCTTGAAGAGCGAGTTTTCGTTACAAACAGCAATCAGTTCTGCATCGCACTGTCCTCGCTCATAGGCAAGGAAGGCAAAATGGGGATCGCGCTTCTCACAATATCTGGAAGCAAAAGCTTGGAAACACGAAAATATTCAAATAAACGCAACTACTCACTTTCCAACCACTCGGCTGTCGTAATATGGGTTTTCCCTAAGGAATCTATCCGGATTATTGTTTGAATCGATATAGATCTTGGCCATAGCATTGTGAGTGGCTGCATCAGTAGCTCCTTCTTGAACGCGGGTCTCCAGCCAGTGTGACAGTAACTTGAGCCTGAAAGATGACATATAACATGGAAATTTGAAAGACGACCCAGTAAATTACCTATTTCTCTTCTCCACCTCAGCCACAAGCTCATCAATGTCGAACTTTCCACGAGTATTCAAAATCAACTGCTTGATAGCATCCTCAGAGCAATCGACATCGAGCAATCCACCTACTACAATGGGCAAACGGGCAGCATTAACCTAAAAAGCAGGTAGTAGAGATGCAAAAATTTCACTTAAACTAAAAATAAATGAGAAAGTAAGTCAAGCCCACCTTTTGTACAAACACTTCGATATATTTCTGAAGCTGATTTCTGTACAGATACAATACGAGATCGTGAACCATGTCATGACGATCGCATACGATGATGAGAGGCAGCTATAACAAATAATGATTTGCGAAAAAAAAAGAGGAGAGCAAGCCTAGTACCTGATCAGCAAGCTTAGCCTCTTTGAGGAAGTTCTTTACACGCTCTGCGTCATAGCAGTTTGATTCACGACAAATGCGTTCTACTTCCTTGATTTGTCCCGTACGAGTTGCTGCCTAAGTTAGTAGAAAATAAGCAAAAATGTACAGAAAAAGACTAAATATAAGCCCTATAAAGAAGCTCTTCAACCAATGCTCACCTGAATATATTTGAAGTGCACTTCAGGATCCTGACTGAAGTTGACGATTGATCCCAAGAAGTAAAACAAGCCCTCGTAACTTTTATGTGTTTCAAACATATCAATCAGCTTATCGGTGCCGAGCTGCTCGTGATATTTCGATGCAATTTG